AGAAAAACCCAAAAAAAAAAAAAAAAAAAAAAAAAAAAAGATAAAAAAAGAGAAAAAGGTAAAATACAGAGCTGATAAACAGTGTTCAAAACACTAAAACACTTACATATTGTCATATCTGCACATATCACTTAGGGTATATCTAGACATTGAGTACTCAAAGGTGTGTACTTGACCTGGGTTAGTTACACTGCGCTATATCCTTTTTTTGGACGCTCAGGACATAGACACACAAACAAGTTATTCTGCAGTAAGTAGCACCTGTGCATCAGCTGATCCAGAGCATCTGTCTGCAGAGTCCGAACACAGAACTAACATTAGACAATTCAAATTATTTTAGCCACCTTGCTACATATTAAGTTTTAATTTACAAGAAGTACGGACTTGCAACACGCAAGAATGAGGCTGGCTTTCTTGAAAGACTTTTTTTTTTTTTTTAAAGTGCCTGTACTTTTTGGAAATAATATGGTCAGGACATACTGCTACCTGAAAATTACAGACTAATCACTTCTTAGCCATCTAATTCTCAAATTTTTGCAAGCGCACTGTTCAAGCATCATCATCTTATCTTCCATTTCTTTTTCAGTATACCAAATAACATAATTGAACATGAACATAAGTGGAGGTTAAAATAAATACATTTATGGCTAAATGGAATGTTTTGCAATACAAACCATTCAAAAACAGTTTATTGATTTTAAAATATTTGCCTACGCAAATACATACTCTGAAAACTAGCTTTAAAATAGAGTTAGTTCATATGAGAATAAGAAATATATTAAAGCAACAAACTGCACTGCCTTGGTAAACAAACTGGGGTACATAAAATAATTAAATTGCATTCACACAGAAGTGCAATATGTTGGAAAGAAGTACTACCTCCACAAAGAACCTAATGGACAGTTTAGGCAGCACTGCAATCAGAAAACTCCTCCACAACTCCATACAATTCACTGAAGGCCTGAATTTCTGTATTCGGACCTAGTTAAAATTGCCTAAATCCTGAGATCAAAGCTTTAGCAAAGATAACATTTCTATTACATATGGTAGCTTCTGTATTTTATTGCTTAATATCGTCATAGTCATATATTTTTATATATACGTATATAAAAATATTTGTGTGTGTATACGTATATGTGCATGTATAAAAACACAGCATTCAGCCTTTATTCTTGTGATTTACTGAAATTCCTTTATAAAAATTCAGTCTTATATCGTTCAGCTAACATAAGCTCATATGGATAGGGTTGGTTGTTCTTCAAGTGCTCAAAAAGTGGAAGATTTCCATTTAATGAATAAAGCATCTGGAGGAAATTCATACAAATGGTGTGGAACACTTTCCAAAATTAACAGGCCCAAAGTAACTTCATTCACAGTGGTATCATTTTGCAAAAATAAATGAGAAGTGCTATGTGCAATTATAATAACAGCTTAACAGCTGTCGGTCATGTCATACAGCATGCTCAAGGCCAGGAACAGATTTCAAGGACTGAGAGTGCAGGAACTGAGGCCTTTTTTCTGCATTAGAAGTGTTAGTTTCAGTGCAAATCATATAGATGGAAATGCATCAGTGTAAAACCATGTAAGCAGAATGACTTCCCAACAGAAGTTACAGGTGGCAAATAGATGTGTATTGTACTAAGCCTAAAGAGATTGCAGGTTGAAGATACCTAATACTGTAATGAACTCCAACTGTTTTCTTGTCAGGGGTTAAGTCTGCCTAACTCAGGTATTTTATTTGTACCTAAATTGTACATAAATTGTCTCTAGCTGCCCCTGAATGCGTCCACCCGCAAAACCTGTCTTAAGTCTAAGCACTTAGGATAGATGGACAACAGGAATTCACCTCCATGCAAGTCTGAGCTAGTTGATCTGAACTCCCTTTATTATCAGTGGAAAGAAATATGCACTTCCAGAGGACGGTTGACCTCATCCTAAGGTGTCTAACAGGGTAAGATTAGCTGAACTGTTTTCTAGGGAATCTCATTCCTGCCGATGGACTCCAAAGGCAGCCTAGGTTGACTAGTTCAGATTAGGGCTATGTCTGCATTAGCAAGAAGAACACTGCAGTATGAGCAGATCTGGACAGTGAAAATGTTAGGCCAGAGAGCCCAATGTCTGTATACAGCACACAGATCGGGGTTTTACTTTGGACTAACTCTCATCTAGTCCCATAGACTGAATCCTCATTAGCAGTTGGAGTGCATTAAGGCCCTTCTGGATCTCATTGTTTGATTTAGTTTTATCCAGAAGGCATCCTGTTCATGTCTTCCAAGACTGCTCTATGATGTGAACCAACAGTAAACTGGGACAATACAGAGATTCACTTAAAAAGCACCATCCAATCCAAACTAAAACACTAATGTAGACACAGCAATGGATGTATATATTTTAAATTATACTGCTAAACAGGATTGATTTCCTCTGGTAGTCTTCAAAGATATGAAGAGTCAGGAGAGAAACAGAGAAAAGGTAAAAATTCTGCAGGATTATCGAAGAGCAAAGTCACTGGAGGAGAACAAAGATTGAGAAGCGATTAGGGGAAACCAAGGGTACATTACATGTAGACTGAGGGAGAGCAGTACATGAAATAGGTAGAAACCTGACTATACATACATGGAGCCTAGAGGGAAAGTGTGGAGTAAACAATCTGAGAGAGAAACAAGAAAAAAAATAACGGTGGAACAGAGAGAAAGGAGTAAGAATAAAACTACTTATTAATTTAAAAGACTAGACAGAATAGGAGATTGTTTTAGAACCTTACTGTTCTAAACCAGTCACAGATTTTTTTTTTTCCTCTTACATGCACATTTCTAGTGGATAAGAAATCATAAATACCTGTGGACATCTGGCAGCACTGTAGCAATCTCCAGCTGTGGCAAACGGAACTGCTCTCCCAAGTATAGTCTGAGCAAAAAGAAAATCTGTGGCTAGAAAACAGAAAATTACTCAACACTGAAACTGCTGCATTAGAAGGTCAGGTGAAAATAGTGTAAAAATGCATTAACATGGGAGTCTTTTGGTTAGTTTTGGGTGGGGATTTTTTGTTTGTTGTTTGGGGTTTTTTGTGTGTGGTTTTTGGTTGGTTTGTTTGTTTGGTTGTTTTTTTTTCAAGCAATGTTTTAAATAGTCCATTTTGGTTAATGCAACATCAAACTAACCTATAAGCCCAGTTTCCTTTCTGAGATAGGAGGGGGTTGGGAGGAGGACAGATGTGTACTTGGATGCAGTTCCAAATGAGCTGGTTGTGGGCCACCTTGCCACTTTCAGGCAGAGGCTTGAAGAGGCCCCATCCATTTAGTGTGTCTGTCAAGGTCTGAGATGGCACTAACTACAGCATAGGAAGACTTTCTCTAGAAAAATATGCCAGGGACTAAAAGGAAATGGAATAGTGGGAACAAAACCTTAGAAACTGAAGCTAGTTCACATGTAAAATACGAATCTGCAAGATTCATGCCACTTGACCACTTGGGACAAGCTAATAAGCGAAGTAGTGGTGGTTTCTCCATTTTTTTTCTTTGAAATTACCATTGAATTCCTAAAGCAAATAAGAATTTTCTTTGTTTCTTTGGCATAACTGGATCTATAATTAGGTCAAATGATAATTTCGTAATCACGCCCAGTGCAATTTCAATAGAATGCTCACATTGGCTAAAACTGCCAAAATGCTTACTTTTAATTTGCATGGAGGTTACATCAAATCTTATTTTGCTAAAAACCGTGAAGCCAGCTGCAAGGTAATCATTTCGACAGGCACAGTCTTGCCTTCTGCTTCCATTGAAAGGACATTCATATGGATTCTGCAGCCTAGAGAACAGCAAAGATTTAGCTTTCCCTTTGGCATTTTTCCATAACATAGCATCATAGTGAAAAATAATTGCATTGTGCTATGCTGCATAAAAAATATTAAACAACAGTTACTGAACAAGAAGCTCAGCTATTAATCTTGGCTCAACTGAAACACTAATTTCTACACCATTTCTATAAAGTCAAGACAGAAAATTTTTGTAATCATTTAGTGCAATTAACACAATTTCAGCCTGGAAGTATCCACATTTCTGCATTTCTGTGTTCATATAACTGGATATTCAAAACAGAAAATCAAGCGAAAAAAATTCTACTCGGCTGTTCTCACAAAAGTATTATTTTATTCTTTTATTTTGGAATACAGAAATGCACTTCATAAAGTTGCAAAACCACTTCTGTACCTGAATCCATATACTTCAGAAAAGTTTTCTGCTTCGCCTTTTACCAGTGTCAAATATTCTTTGGGATTCTCTAAGTGCATGCCGGAGCAATAAATCTGCAGGAAAAATACAACCCTTTAGCAAAATCTTTATTAGAAAAGTATTACTTCATAAAAATATGTGCTCATAAAGACTCATAAATATTAAGAGTACCTTTATCATCCTTCCCTTAATGTTAAGTAGGTATTCACCATCCTTTCTAATCCCTTTTTTAATCTGGATATCTTTGCAGGTGGTAAAAATTTCACCTTCAAAATGAATGATTAAATCATTAATATTTCATGAACAGAGCTTAGCTTTAGGACTTACTTTTGCATAATTGTGCTCCAAATAAATTTATAGCTTTTATATAAATAACCTGGGAAAACATGAAGTTCAGCTGAAAATTGCAGCTGTCACTTACATTCTTCCTCACGGCAAATCTTCCTGGCATCTGGTTTTAAACGTGGCAGGCACAAGTCACTGGATAAGCCGTTTTCAGTCATACATTCTACAGTTCTCTCCTTTACCCCGACTCCGCAAGACACTGAGCACTAGACGTGGATAGCCATCAAGAATTAGTTTAGAAGGTAGTAAATAATTAAAATAATTATGTCAGCAAATTTGTCTTGGCATTCATTTCTATTTGAGGCAGCCATCAAAAATGAGCTTGCACATCTCTACTCACCTTAGTCCACTTTCCCACTTTCCAGGTAGCTGCTTGTGAACATCCTTTGATATTACATTTATAAGTGTATGGGGATGGCTCTACTGGGCATTCTCGGTACGCTACAGTTCGAAGGCCATGGGCGTGCTGATTTTGAACAGAATGGATTCCAACACAGTACGTGATCCTCTGCTGGTAACCAAACCCACAGCTGGCTGAGCACTGAAATAAAATCCCCAAGCACAGGCATTATTTCTATGAAACCGAACCTTTCTGCAGCATTGCGTTTACAGATAAGCCAGCTCTGACCCTTGCTTTGGCAAAAGCCTGTAATCCCATGTGTGCCTTAGGGCTGGTACATCAGTGTGCAGAAGCAAAGGTCTACAATAGTTACGCATTCAAGGAGATGGCATGTCCTATGCTGCTCTTTTCTCAAGAGTTCACAGAGGTTCCAGAGCCGTTCCCTCTTAGCTGCAGTACATGTACAGACACGACAAATAAGTAGTGCAGGTGTGCTAAGGAAACAAGGCACTGATCCATCACTTCACTGAAATCAAGGAAAATATTTTTGTTTAATTCAGTGAGATCGGCGTGCAGGAGAGTTTCCTGGGAATTAGCAAAGGAATCCTGTGATGGGGCAGCTGTCCTCTAGCTGATGTTCATAGGTCCCAGGGGGGCTACCAGAAGACTGATAACAGTCACTACAATAAATCATGGCTGATTGGAAGGTGGAGAAGGTTTAGGCACCCACATCTAGATGAAAATATACTTTTTTTTTTCTCTGCACACATAATGTACTTTTCACAGTAACATAACCTTCTTAAATGTAAAGTGATATAAAAGACATGTGAGCAGTATTATTAGTTTACCTGTGACAGTTCTCCTGTAAGCACAACATATTTAGAGGGAGCTATCCTGCAGTTCTTGGTTGATGGAGGCTTTGTGGCAGGATCACAGAAGCTTTCATCCACTTGGAGCTGGTTTTCATCCACACACTTAACCTTCCGGTGTATGTCCTTTCTTCTATACAATGCCGAGCACTGAGTGTGAGAAAAACAATCACAGTTTTTGTACTTAAACTAGACATTTACAGAACAAAGTTATTTGCCAATTGCCACACACCAGTAAAACCCAGACAGCAACAACTTTTACAACATCTGTTATCAGTGTCAGACTGAATTGCTCACTGAATCAAAATACTTTACTTTGTTTTCAAAGTTCACGTACCTCCAATCAGCTAAAAAGCCAATAGCGTATAATGACATGACACCCTAAATGTTGGGTGAGACTGAGGAGAAAATGAAAATGTCAGGCCAAGATGATAGGTTGAGTGAAAAAGCTCTTCTGTATGAAAAGGAACGAGCCAAAAAAGGATGTAAGTGAAATATGAAAGAAATAAGTTGGTCTTCAAAATAAAACAAAGAATCCCTGGCGGTATGTACGTGATATTACGCAGAAAACTATTTCTATAATTTCTATTACAAAGAAAACAAAACTGCATGCTAACGAAGCCAGTGGTGGTTTTGGGCAGCAGCATCTGTTGAGCCTGTTCCTTTGCCCTCAGTGTCCTCAGACCTCCCCTTGTGGCAGGTTGGTGGGTTGGAAAGTCATCACAGTTCTGCCAGGAGAGGATAAGACACTTGCTGCTACCAGAATCCAGAAAAGTGGAGATACAGGCTAAGTAATAGATGTCAACAGCATCTCTCCAGCTACGGGTGCTTAAACTAACCTGTTTGAACTTGCTGTGATAAAGAAGGAAGTCTCAAATAGGCAAACTCCAGTCTCAGGAGAGGCAATAATCAATAACACCACCTACTACAGTCAGACCTGAACTTAATACTAATTTGGACCCAGCAACAGCCAATTAGAAGACTCACCAAGGTCTGTTACACAGATCAAGCCTATTGTTCAAATTGTATTTTTATTGACTCAAAGAGGCAACTTGGAGTGCAAAACGAGATGCTGTATGGTAAAACAGCTCTGCTAGAGGAAAACTCTAACTTTATCAAGTCAAACCTCAAAAGGATGGAGACTGCACAAATTGTCTGGGCAGCCTATTCAGCTGCCTGAATTGTCCTCGTGGAAAAATGGTTTTTCATAATATCCAGTTTGAACCTCTCTGGCTTCACCTCTACTGCTGTTGCCTTTTGCCTTCCCACTATGTGACACTGTGGAGAGCCTGGCTCCGTCCTCTTGGTACCTTCCTTGCTGTGGACTTGTATCAGGGGATGAAGTGTGGATACAGTTGGCTTACAGAAACACCTGACCTTTTAATGGCATGGAGCAGCTCAGAATATTAGGTACGTAAGGAATAACCCAGATATGAGGTAATGAGGACGGGCAGAAGAATCCTTTTCATTATGCTTTATACATTAGTCTTGTAGACATTCTTCTCTTTAGTACGAAAATGCATATTTGGTAGGAGAATGCTGGCTGCTGCTATCAGCCAGCCTCCCAGCTGCAAGCTGGAGAAATGCTAGATCTGGAAATTTTTCTGCTATGATGTGGCTGGTGAGGTGAGGAAATGACACACGAGCACTCAGAGCTGAGACAGCTGGGCAAAACATTGTGAAGTCGGTGGAGAACGTACTGCACCAGGAGTGGAATACAGATGGATAAACACTTGAACTACTATTAATACTAGATGTACAGGGCTATATATGAATCTGCTGAAAGAAGGGAACTGAACCCAGGAATTTCAAGCAAATAGCAATATCCATGTGGAAGAAGTTATGAACTAGCTGGAAGATGTAGTGAAACACAATGCATTTGTATTGGAGAGCTCAGAATACCCAGCTGGAATATCCAAATGCTTGACAGAAAAGGAAAATTCACCCTTATTCACTGAAAGTGTATATTTGTGCTAAAAGGACATTCTGAGCCACTTCCACTAATTCCTCATATGAAGCTGTTAAAATCAGGAGAGAACACTTGGAATAAACATATATCGTCAGCTTTCCTTCAACATAGCTTAACAGAGGGATACGTATGTCTGAACTGCATGAATACAATCCAGGTTTTGCAGAGCACCAAAAATTGATTTATATATTCACAGTAGTCACTTCTACAGCATTATGTCCCTGAGACTTTTGAGTCTTCATATTCAAAGGTTCAGGGGGTTTGCCCCAGGAAATTTAACAGTGCAGATTATTAAGATGCCACAGCTGCACAAACTGGGTTCTTGTTTAATGTTACAGTAAGAGACAGGCTCTTCCGTACGCCATTTCAGGTATTGCACGTAATTTTTGGTTTTCTCTCTCCCTCTCTCTTTATATATGTTTGTATGTTTGCATACATGGATACAAAAGTTATTAAATTTTTAGCATATAGAAAATAGTCATCACATCTTTAAAAATGACAGCTCTCTCCTGAAGGTATCTTTAGATTTTCTTAAATAGGAAAATGCATATTTGGTAGGAGAATGCTGAGTTTTGTCTTCTTATCTTGCTTCATATTTGGTAGGAGAATGCTGAGTTTTATTTTGCTTCTTATATTTTCTGGTCAGTCTTCCATACAGATATTCTTGAAAACACTGTTGTCCAAAGGTTTTACCTCTGAGGTTTTTACTTCCAGCTGACATTTCATTTGTATTTCTATTCTTAAAAAGTGATTTTTTTTAAATGATATTCCATAATGAGGTTTTATTTAACATTTTATGCACTATGTAAAGAACTTTTTATATTCAAATTACACAGTTCTATCAATAGGGACCTGCTCAGAACTCCACCAGAGCTTTTGTCTACAACAGTAGACAAGCAAATCCTGTATAAAAGAGTAAACAAAGTTTTTGACATCTTTTGTCACTCTTTTTAGTTTTGCAAGCTTGACCTTAAAAATATCCAGCGTGGTCACTTGTTATTCTGCAACGTAACAGCTATTAGAAATGTATCTAAATGTGGGGAAAAAAAAAAGGAAAACTTATGACATCACTCAGTTCCTTCGTACAACTTGAAAGCCTTACTTACATCTTCCCATTCATCTGCCAGCCACTGGTACTGCATGCAGGCAGGCAGCCAGCAATGCCTCTTGCTAGCGGGCCGGGTATCAGAATTACACATTGCTTCACTCCCTTGACCCAGGCCCTTCAACTGACAGTAGATGTCCCTTTGCTGAATCCCCACTCCACAGGATACAGAACACTAAAATTGATCAGAATTAGTTATGTCAGTGTGAAATGAGACAGCAATGATAGCAATTACAGTGATACTACTGAATTAGTCACTGAAGGTAAGAAGTAAACTTTAAAAATTTACTGTTATTTTGAATTTACAAGGTAAGTTGAGGAAACTCCTAACTACCTATCCTGTCCAAGGTTCAGATTACCAAATACTTTCAGGTCTGACAGATATTTACTTCTAATTACTCTTAAAAGAAAGAAAAAGAAAATATAATGAACTGCTTGCTAATTTGTAACTTTCATTGCTATGTGCATATAAAAAAACCTTTCTGATAATTATTTCCATTGAAGCAGTGTGTCGTAAATATGACCTTGTGTTGTACTCTCATAGAGAACATAATTATAGCAGATTTTACATACCTCTTTCCATCTGCCAGCCTTCCAAGCAGGACAACTTCCAGCTCTACATACTTTGTACGTCCGTGGTTTTTTCAAATGTCTGCAATTTTCTTCTTCTATTTTAGCTTGGAAGCTATTAAAACAATGCACATCACGAAACTTCAAACCTTTTCCACAGGAAACAGAACACTGAAAAGAGAAGTGTATTTCATTACTTTACTAAAAATCTCAAAGCAATAAGAAAACCAGAAGAAGCTGTGGCCTCACCCAAAATGGACTCTGTGATTATAGGAATAAGTTTCTGTATTATGACACAACATCTACTATATGTATCTGAAATTTCTGTGTAAGCTCTCTCGTCCTGAGCGTTACTGATCAGATGCCAAACATCGCTCACGTCTTGTTCATTCAATGATGTCGTCATTGACAAATACCTGAGCTCAGCCATCCATATCCATGCAGGAGACAGCTTGATATTATGATACCCTGGCAGTACGCACTAGCTATGATTAGAGCGTGTCTGACAGATTGGTCTCTTCTGGAGAAAGGGCCATTCCTCTGCTAAATTGCTGGACTGCTGTGAGACTTTAGTGAGATTTGAATTTAATTCTTCAAATCAGGGCTGTGCTATTCACCTGCAGAGCAGAGCTGCAGGTCCTAGGGAACTTTCAGTCAAACAAGGAACATCTGAAGCACTTCCAAATTAGGTGGCTACTCATCTGACTTATCTTGGATTGTGAGCATTGTGAACAGAAGCACTTAAGTCTTTTTTTTTTTTTTTTATCTTGTAATTAATCTTCATATTTTACATCGTCCTATCAAAAAATTTTGATCGATGAAGACAATTCCTTTTCCATCCGGAAAGAGAACATGCTTAATTTGTTCTAGGATTTCCTCCATACTTTACTTACACTTGAACAAACATTTCCTACACAATCAGGTAGAGAATTAATATTGAAATCAAAATTTAAATTCTAAGTGGATGTGAAAAAAAGGATTTAAATTCAAAAGCACCGAAGATAATTCTCTTCCTTGCATGTTACATCGTCATCTATGTCACTAGCATTACACACTGACTTAACCAAGCACTTTTAAATAAGTATATCTTCTAGTTTCAGGAAATGAAGTTCAGATCATACAGCTTTCAGTACAAAACGTGGCAAATATTTGCCTGAGAACAACGGCTGGAGAGAAGTTTTTAAAATATAGAACAAGCAACTATAATAAATTAACCTGCTCGGTAAGAAACATTTTTCACAAGAACAATAACTGCACTTTGGTAAACAGAATCTCATCTGACACACTTGTCCTCACTACCACAGGGATTCCTATGTGTCCTTAAACATTTATGTGTGTAATCTTAAAGGTTTAATTGAAACTGCCAATGCGTTTAAAATTAAATCTTTGCAAAATAAAGCAATAAATTTAATTTATCACACAATACAATGGATAGCATGTTTCTCTTATGCAACTATAATTATATTTGCAAAGAGATAAGAGTACTGATTTGGCCACAACTTGCCTTTTACATGTCTGCTATACAATTCCAGTAAATAAGACTGTTTGTTTCTAAATTAAATCATTTTGCTCTCAGCAAAATCTTTCAATTTATCATTTTAAAATACTGTTCAGGTAGTTTTAAAATATATGTTTCATTAATTTAGAAACTACTTTAAGATAGAAAGATAACAAAAATTACCTGAAACTTTTATCTATGAATAATGTAGGTCAGAAAACTTAAAACTCTGCAAACCATATCATTATAAAAGCCTTTCAGAAAATTCAGCTCTGAATTCAGAGGATTTAATTATCAAAGCAGGCAAGATAAAATGTATGCATGAAAACTAAAATGCTGATATTATCTTGATAATTGATTCTACTCTCCCTTAAAGCTTTTTTTCAGGAATTTCAATCACAAAATGTAGACATAAAGGACCCTTAAGCTCCAAAGATTCTTCCTTTTTATTCTTCAGTAGTATGTAAGTGAAGTGCACAAAGTTACCTAACCTCCCCCTATGATGTATTAGGAAAACATCACATGCCCCTCCTTCCTCAACGGCTTTCTCCTGCGGAGCATAAATTAGGCTCCAGGGGGCTATCAGGCAGAGCCCTTCTAGGGTCTGCATTCCAGACTGAGAACTGCAACCAAAGAAGGTGTCCTAAGAAGTCTCCACTTCCACCATCGAGTAATCTCACAGCACAGAATAATCTCACTTTAACTTCTCATTGCCCTCAACATCAAGTATTAAGACAACACTTTTCAGCATATATACATATTTGTTTATACAGCTTGTGCAGATATCTTTTATTCAACAAAAATGAGATTTATTTTACAGGGTTAATGGCTGCTAATAGCAATAGAATATGCAAAGAAATCTCTTACCCTGCATCTCAGTCTTCTAAAGATCTTCCAATACTATTTCTGCCCACTAGATATAACATCACATGTTTAATTATACACAGGTTAGAATTGGGTCTAGTTTTTTTTCTTTTATTTCCCCCTCTTCATTGATCCAAACTCAACTGAGTTACATCTTTTATATTTAAATGGACAATTTAATCTTTATAATTTGTGCTACTCTTTCTTCTAAAGAAATTGAAGATTTGTGTGTTAAGTTAGCCTATTATAAGATATTTTTAGTAGTTACAGAGCAATGCCTGTATAAAGAGATTATTTGCAGTTCTCTTTCATAGATGTTCTACTGAATTTTGTAATTAGGAGTACAATTATACAGGAATTAAGAAAATCCACATTTGTTTTCCATCATATTAGATAGGAAGCTGAAGCGGGAGTTCAGAAAGGAAAATACCGGTTTGGATATTAAGAATAACAGAGGCTTTATGAACAGTTATTTCAAATACTACTTAAACTTTCTTTCACTGATATACTGTTTAGCTTTGATGATTCAAGCTAGCTGAAACCTATTGTTGTCTTAATGGTAAATGCAGACACGCAAATGAAAGATACCTAAAATCTGTAGGTAGAAATTATTTTTAATTATTTTAAAATATTTTTGTATTTAAAAAAATCAATTATAAGGAATATAAATTAACTTTCCAGTAATGTAACTTTGGATAAGTCATCTGATTTTTTTTTTCCCTTGCTGTAAGGTACAGAATGTTGCCAACTCATACCAAGAAAATATGCACATTTAAATAACTTTTTCCAGGGAGTTTTTTCACTCCATGTTAATTTAATGTTATCTTTAACAAATTAAAAAAAGACATGTTCAACACATTGGGATTATGTTAAAAACTCTTAAATGCATTAAATCCTTACAAAGTATAAGTTTTCCAGAAATACAGAGACAGCATTTCTATATATAGATTTGCTATCTTATTCTTTCACATATTCAAGTTACAGATCTGATCCTGTGTTTCCATGCTTCCAAACCTCCTGTTGAATAGACCTTACACTGGAAAAAGAGATTTTACTGTGCAAGAGGTAATTCACTAGTATCCTAATGTTATGGGTTTCAACTTATGAGCTTTTAAAGTTGTTGTGGTTTTTTTTGTTGTTGTTTCGTGTTGGTATTTTTTTTTTAAGTCATGAAAGAACACTGAAGTTTAATTCATTAGATTAATGTGTGTTTGTTGTTTCACTGAAAAAATGAAAGATCCTGATACTTTTAAAAGCTAAAAAAACTCCAGACATTAAGCAGCTGCAAACCTCTGCTTAAATACAATCGCCCAAACTTAAAAACGAGTAAATTGCCAGACTAAGAAGTACCTCCAAGCAGCTTTGCTTCAGCGCGGTTCCACAGGGCCAGATTCTTATATCTGCTGCAGTGAGTGTCTCCCACCAGCACCAGTGTGAGGAAGAGAAACCTAAATACCTCTAGGGATCAGACCCTTTACAATTTCAATGGGATCTAAATAAAATTAAATTCCAGGATTGTTATTTTAAAGCCTTGCATACGTATCAGTTACAGAAGCACCTAGGCTGCCCTGAGCCACAGTTGAAGACATTAAAAAGTTCCTTTCGTGCTGAACAGTCTTATTCAACAAGCATGCACAATCCTTTCAACAGACTGACCAGCTCAGCGCTTGACATGCCCATCAGGACGATCAGCATCCTGAAAACAGATTTTCCTCTATTTCCACTAACAAGTTAAAAAAAAGAAAGCAATTGCTCTAAGAGTACACTGAGCGCACAGCAGGCAAATGAGGCGCATTACAAAACACAGTGATAGATGATATTTATAGTGCAACCAAAGAAAGATAAATGCTCCTAATTTTTTTCTTCTTTAACACATGAAAAAGCTAATGCACTCACCCTGGATGTAGATGATCCAGGATCATCAATGGAAAGTTCGAGAGGGTATATTATTCTGTAGGTACAGTATTCTCCTGAAACTGGACATATTCTGGCTTCATTCCTTAGATAATATATAAAAATAGTTCTTAAAGGCACCGTTTCCTCCGAGAATGCCTTGGTGTCAGATGCAGGCAGGCTTAGCTGTGTTCTTTACTGGATAGTGACCCAGCTTCAGCAAGAGAAATGAAGACTACTCCTGTCCAATACAGCTTCTCATTGGAGACTCCTGACCAGTAGATAAGGGTTGCCTGTCCTCCAGCACAGAGAATGAATACCAAAGAAAGGAAACCAGGCCTCTCAAATGCTGAATCAAAAGCTTTAATGCCTCTTAACTTTTCTGTAAGGGCAGAGCATAGCTCCTGCTCAGTTCTTTGAAGGAAAAATATAGGTTCCATAGAAGATCCCTGAGTGGGACTCCCAAGTGGCTAAAGGCATCTAAATACAGTGTACGGGGAGGCATCTTACATTGAGCTCCATCCCCACCAACAGTGTTTTCCTTAGAGAGCTGCATATTGCACACACTGATCTAGAACACCTGCCTGACAAGCTTCCTTTCAGCTTTGTATCGTCAGAAAGAAGCATCAAATTCTCACTTGTACAGGAGTCAGGCCTTGTTCTGTGCTCTGGACTTCACTCGTGTCCTTTTAGCGCGACTAAGTTATAGCGCATTTCTTACAAGGCTGAATTTTGCCCTTCATAAGCCTGTGTTCCTTCTCAGAGCTTCTAACGCATTATTACATGCTGTCCGTGGAATATGGTCCTCTCACTGCTTGGAGCCCTCTCTGCTTTGTGAGATGCTCCGGTAGTGAGCTTCCCAAGGCTTAACTCTCCTGATCGATTGGCAAAAGTACAACTGCACTTAACTCTCTTG